TTAAAGGGGTGCGCCACCATGTCCGGCTTCCTTCCTATTTTTTTAAAGATTTTTTTTTTTTTTAAGCTGGGCTGGTAGCACATGCCTTTAATTCCAGCACTTGGGACGCAGAGGCAGACAGATCTCTGTGAATTCAAGGCCAGCCTGGTCTACATAGTGAGTTCCAGGTCAGCTAGGGCTACAGGGAGATCCTGTCTCAAAAAAACAACAAAAAAAAATTATTTTTAATTATATGTATGTGTGTGAGTCTGTGTGTATGTGCACGTGAGTGCAAGTCAGAGGCATTGAATCCTTCTAGAGTTACAGGTGGTTGTGAGCTGCCCAATGTGGGTGCTAGGAACCAAACTCAGGTCTGCAAAAGCAGTATGTGCTCTTTTTAAAAAATATTTTGTTATTTTTATTTTATATGTATTAGTGTTTTATATGCATGTACCTAAGTGCACCCATGTCATGCAATGCCCATGGAGGTCAGAAGAGGGCATAGGATCCCCTGGAACTGGAGTTACAGACAGTTGTTAGCTGCCAAGTGGGTACTGGGAACCTGGGTCCTCTGTAAGAGCAGTCAGTGCTCTTAACCTCTGATCCATCTCTCCAGCCCCCCAGTATGCCCTCTTAACCACTGAGCCACCTCTCTTCTCTGACTTCTCCTACCTTTCTTTTTTTTTTCCTGAGATTCGATATAGCCCTGGAATCTGCTTTGTAAACCAGGCTGGCCTTGGACCCACAAAGGTCTATTAGCCTCTGCTTCCTGAGTACTGGGATTAAAGCTATGCACCAACATACCTGGTCCAAACTCCCACCCTTCCTTTTAAAAATTTATTTATTTATTATTATTGTGTGTACATGTACATGAGTGTTGGGGGAAGTGAGTATATAAAAATCAGAGGACTACTCTGTGAAGTCAGCTCTCTTCTTCTACCTCTGTGTGGGTTCAAAGGATCGAATTCAGGTCTCCAGAGTTACAAGGCAATCACCTTTACTTCCTGAGCCATCTCACTGGTCCAGTTCCTACTTTTTAAATGCCTCATAATTTCTTGAAGCCTTGGAAATATGCTCAAACCATATCCTAAGGATAGCACTGAGTAAGGCTCAAGATCTTTGTGGGTTCAGAGAAGAGGGAATGGATCTGAGAAATATATAGATGGAATCCACTGGAGCGAATCTCATGTCTGACTGGAAGTGGAAGTAAGGGAGAGAAGAGTTGGGGCTTCATTCTGGGTGCTAGTGGATGACAGCTTGGAACTAAAGTAACAGAGGCAGGTTTGGGGAAGGGAGAGACTGGCTTCAGATGTGGTGGGTTCGAAATGCCCCATGTAGAATATGTGGGTAGGAACAATTTGGCCAGGCTGAGCCGGAGGGTCTATAGCTAATATGTGGTGGGAAATGGGAGAAAAAATTACACTGTACATGAAGAAAGGAAGGGAGAGGTGGGGGCCCAGCCTGCAGAACATGGGTGCCTTGGAGAACCTGCCCAGGAAAGATCCAGGTTGAAAATTGAGGGAGAGGAGCATGGGAAGGAAATGGAGCCCCAGACTGTGGGAGGCTGGCCTTGAAGGACTTCCTCTATTGAAGAGGCCTTGCCTGTTGAGCCAGAAGGTGGCAAGTCTCCATTGCTTGTTGGGAAATAGCCCAGTCTTACCTTTGTGGTGATAGTAATCCACAGCTGGAGAGTAGGAGGGAGATGGACTGATTTAGGGTTAGCCTGTGTTAAGGAAGGTGCTGAGGAACTGTAAGGCAGGTGACAGGCTCCAGGGTATGGCTCTTTAAAAGGATGTGTCAGATATGGAGCAGAGATAGAGGACATTGGGACTGGGAAATTTTTTGGGGGGGGGTCTCATGTAACCCAGGCTAGCCTCAAACTCACTATGTTGTTGAGGATAGCTTTGAACTTCTGATCCTCTTGCCTCCACCTCCAAGTGCTGCGATTACAGGCATGCACCACAGAGACTGGGAACTGAAGGGTTGGTAAAGTGACCATTGTGGCCACCAGGGGCAGCCATGGAACCTGAATGGATTGCCATGGAACTGAAAATAAACCAGGAGACCCAGGTTTCTATGTGCCTGAGTGCTAATTGTATCGGCAGCTCTGCTTTTATGCTCATACTAGTGAGACTCACATGTCTGCAGAGCTGAGCAATACTAAAATGGCTTCCCATACTTGTGAGAACCACAGTCACATGTTTACAGAACACTGAATAATAATATTATGGCTTGAATATAACAATTCAGCAAAATAAGATGAGCACAACCACATTATCTCCATGTTATGTCTACTTAGGAGGTCAGTATGTTTCATGAGAAACTAGAGGGGGCGAACCAGCATCCTGGAGCTATCTCCCCAGGAAGCATTCTTGCATAAACTTTCTCATGAGACACGGGGTTCCCCAGACATACGTGCTCAAGGTTCAGCTTAATTCACCAAGCATTTTTTTTTTTTTTTTTTTTTGGTCTTTTTGAAGCAGGGTCTGCCTGTAGCCCCAGCTGTCCTGGAACTCACTATGTAGACCAGGCTGGCCTTGAACTCAGAGAGATCCGCCTGCCTCTGCCTCCCAAGTGCTGTGTACAGGCGTGCATCACCACACCCAGCTAAGCATATTTTTAAAGTCATAGGAATGCTATTTCACAGTGCCTTCAGACCATGACTGAGACTGCCCAATTCAGGTTTGGTGTAGGCAAGAACAGGCATTTTAAAGAATATAGAGTCTGTAGTTGAGGCCTGGAGAATGGGGATGATAGAAGGGTGTCCCAAGGGATGGATTCAGTTTTAGAGTTCCAGATTTTTCTATTCAGCCAAAGAAATGAGCTCTGTGACTTTCACTCTGGCTTTGTGAAGTTGAATAGCCAAATGCCCCCCTCAGCATTGTTTTGACACAAGTCCCTAGAATTATACATCATGTGATCATGTCAGATCTAATGAGGCTTAACAGTTCAGAGTCATGAGCAGGCATTACTTCAGAATTGTCACTTTCAAACACAAACGTTCTGAAAGTATTTTGAGTGAAAAATCTTCATATGTGCTTGATAGGTTGAAATTCTATCAACAAAAATAGAAATGTGTCATTATCGCAGGAGTATGATGTGTTTCCACAATGAATGGTGACTGAGACCAATCGCTTCTTTTTTGTTTTGCTGTTGTTTTATTTCTTTGTTTTGAGACAGGGTCTCCCTGTAGTCCCAGCTGGCCTAGAACTCACTATGTAGATTAGGTTGGCCTCAGTCTCACAGAGATCCACCTGCTTTTGCCTCCTGAATGCTGGGGTTAAAGGTGTGCGCCACCATGCCTGGCTTAGCTTTGCATAGCGAGCACTTTATCCTGAGCCAATCTCCCCAGCCCTGAGAGCTGACAACTCTCTACATGAGTTTAGCATCCCATATCCAAAATGCTTAGGATTTAAAGGGTTTCAGACTTAACAGGGTTTTTGTTTTGATTCCAAAGCTTTGGAATATTTGAATAAATTTTACCAGTTGAAGACCCTTAATCAAAAGATCCAAAATCTGAAACAAACACTCCAAATCCAAAACTTTTTGAGCATCATATTGCCAGGACTGAAGATATCTTGGATTATAGATGCTAAACTTGTATGAAAAGAGGTGTTAGGTTCCCCAGACCTAATTTGTTCTCACCAAATAATCTTCCAACAGGTTTTATAAGACTGTTCCTTATAGTTTTAGATCTGCATAGAGTAAACAAATTTTAGCAAAAATACTTGTCAAAGCAACTGCAAAGAACGGCAGCCATTTTGGGGGCTGGAGAGATGGCTCAGCAGTTGGGATCACTGACCACTCTTGCAGGGGACCCAGGTTCAATTCCCAGCACACACATTGTGGCTGACATCCATCCGTAACTCCAGTTCCAGGGGTTCCAATGTCTTCTTCTGACCTCCACGGGTATTGCATGACACAAGTGAACTACATATATACAGGCAATGCACTCATACACATAATATAAAAATACACATAAAAATAATCATAAAAAAATACTTTTAAGAATGGCAGCCATTTATAATACTTGGAAACAAAGAAGTTTTGAGGGCTTCCCAAACTAAGAATCTAGATCCAACGTGGTTGCAGTGTTCTCCACTGCTTGTAATCCCCACACTTAGGCTGAGAGAGGAGGATCTTGAGTTCAAGGCCAAACATGGCTAAGTAGACCCTGGGTCAAAATAAAAAAGTAAAACTTCCTCCCAGGAAAATATCATTGAAAACAAATTTCTGTAATTATAATATTTAGTGCTTAAAAGTTTAGTGATTGTATAAATGACACAAATTGCAAATGATATCCAGAAATGCAAAATAGGAAGTACCTGGGGGGGATGTGTATGCGTGTTGGGGTGTGTGTGTGTTTGTGCCCCTATGTCTGCAGGTGTGTGCATACTCAGGCCAGAAGAGGGCACTGTCTTTCCCTACCACTATCTACCTTATTTATTTGAATTAGAGTGCACGCTGGCAGCCAGCAAACCCCAGTGATCCTCCTGTCTCCGCCTCTCAAACAGACCTGGGCTTTTTATGTGTGCTGGGTTCCAAACTTCAGTTCTCAAACTTGCAGAGCAAGCACTCTTATCACTGAGCCATCTCCACAGCCCCAAATATCCTGCATTAACTATGCTGAAATGATGATCGTGTCTAAGTTACAATGTCAAATGTCCAAAATTTGGTTGCTGTTAATAACATCATCATAACTCAGTAGTTTCACTCTAACTGTAGGTTTATTTATAGATCCTTGGGCTAATTTCATGCTGGTGAGCCTCAGCTTTGCCTGTGGGAGTGCACCAGACCGTTGGTTCACATCTAGTTAGAGAGAAGAGGGAAGACGTCAACACTACAGAAGCCACAGCATATTTGCTTGCTGAAAGTCATGAGTAGGTTCTGGAAGCCAATGGAATCTTCGTAGGTTCCTAGCTAGAAAAGGCCATGGAAGGAGCCCTCTCAGGAAGAACTGTCAGGATCAAGAGATTAAGCCCAGGACCTCTTGCTCTCTTTCAGCCTTGCATTCTGGAACGTCTAAGTCCTCTTCTCTTCCCTCCTACGGCAGGACCACTCTGAGCCGGGTAAGGCCTCAAGTCCAAGCAGGGGCTGTGTGGGAGAGGTGTGCATGTGCTGTGCTTCTGAGTGGACAAGCACCTGGACATCCCAGGTAGAGGGGAGATCCTCAGAATAAAGAAGACTGATGGGGAATGCCCCCAGCTCTCTCTGAATCTCTTGTATCCCTTCCTAGCTACAGTCCACAGACTTCAGCCCATCGGGGAGTGAGGCTGGGAGCCCAGGTGAGAAGTGGGGCCACATGTTGCTGGAAGCTGGGAAAGGAACCTCCACAGGCTCCATAGACAGCCTGTGTCGGATGTTGGGAGTGGTCTGTCTGTTCAAGGTCAGGTGAGAGGGTGCAGCCCCCCAGAGCTGCCTCTGAACCATGGCTCTTGTCTCTGCAGGCCTGCAGGTGAGTGCCCCCTGGAGGGGAGCAGGAGAAGCACAAGAAGCCAGGGCCAGGCACCTGCCCTGGCAGGGAGGGGGGTGTGGGGCCTAGAAGTTGCCTGGTGAAGATCGAAGACACCAGGGGTAAGGATGGGAAGGTCCCCCTGCCCCACTCTGGCTCACTGCGGCTTTGGTCTCCCCAGAATGGAGAGGGCCAGAGGGGGAGGATGGACCGGGGGAACTCCCTACCCTGTGTGCTGGAGCAGAAGGTGAGGGCAGGGGACCTGGCCACCTCAGAGGGTGGGCTTCAGGGGGGTGGTGAAGCCCACCAAACTGAATGCGCTCAGGGTGCTCTGGAGATGACAAGGGGGTGGCAGTAGGGACGCTGAGGGAGATGAATGGCAAAATGGCATGAACCCCAGTGGCCTCTGCAGGTTGACAAGGGGGCCTGGGGAGTCAAAGGGGTTTTGAGGATAGGAGACTGAACCTAAGAGGGCCCTTTCTGCCTCTGCAGATCTATCCCTATGAAATGCTGGTGGTGACCAACAAGGGGCGAACCAAGCTGCCTCCAGGTGTGGACCGCATGCGGCTTGAGGTATGTAGGAAGATGCATGGGATGGGGGGGTGTCCAGTGGGGCATCCCCTTGTTCTGCTTGGTGTAGGGGCTACCAGCAGGGTTCCCTCACTCTAAACAGTGTAGCAGCTACCTCCTTTATCACTCAGCTGCCTGTGTCTCCCCACAGAGGCACCTGTCAGCAGAGGACTTCTCGAGGGTCTTTGCCATGTCTCCTGAGGAGTTTGGCAAGCTGGCCCTGTGGAAGCGGAATGAGCTCAAGAAGAAGGCCTCCCTCTTCTAACAACCCTGTCAGCCTGCCCTATCCATGAAAGCACCTTTCCACTGCTGCTTCAAGGCCCTGGAGCTGGGACTATGAGACCCCACAGTGTCCTCTTCCTCTGCCGGCTGGGAGCAGCGGGAGGCAGGGCAGAAGCCATGAGCTCTGTTCCTCAGGGAGAGAGAGCCAAGACCTCTGCATTCCCAGAGTTGTGAGGCACGGACTTCCTTCCCCACAATGGGCCAGGGGCCTCACTCTGTCTCTGGTCCCCACTGCCTAGCCAAACCCAGCCTGGACTCCAGCACACACACAGTCAATGTTTGCATCCTCTCCCTGCCTGTCACCCCACATAAAGGTCCCTAGAAGAGGGTGAAGAGAAATGAAGGGGGACTTAGTGGTGAGGCCTGTCTGCTGTCCTGCACAGGGGAGTAGACTCAGAGCCAGGCAGGGGCAGCTCTGGGACCCTGTGTCTGCCCACCCAAGGGTTCTAGTCCACTCCACTCCTGACAGCTCCCTGCTCAGGGGCCTGCTACTTTTCTGACTGGCAGGAGCAGGCTCCAGCTGGGCCTCCAGCAGGGAGGTCAGCCTCCTTCCAGCTTGCCTGACCTTTACTTGCAGTCCCCTAAGCTTCAAAGCCTCTTGCTCCAGCCCCAGGGCTTCCCTAGAAACTGTGGCTGAGAGCAGAGATGTTGCCTACAAACTGCCTAACCACCACCAGCCTCCAGGCAAAGCCAGCTAGGATGCATCCTTCTAGCACCTGCCCAGGGACCGCTAGCCAGGCCTCAGCCTCCCTTAGATGGAATCAAGAGGCCTAGCTTGGGGCATCTCTGAGAGTCCTGGCTCCCAGGTCCCCTCATTCCCATGCATCCCCCACTGTGCTCTCTACAGAATGTAATTTATTGGGGCACCCCTGCTGCTTTCCTTACCTGACTCCCTGCCCTACCTAGTTGCACTCCCAGCCCCCTGTCTCTCCACATACATACGTGTATATAATTATATATATATATATTTTGCCTAGGTTTGGGTTTTGTTCCTGCCCAGACCCTGGCATTCCCTGTCCACTGTGTGTGTGATCATGCTGGGTGGGGTGACTCTGCTTGGAATTAAAAGGTTGCATTGGGTCCCTAAATCTATTTGAATTTATTTGTTCTTCTTTTTCCCCATTTGGGGTCAAACCCAGGGCCTTGCATATGTAGACAAGTACTGTAAGACTGAGCAATATCCCTAGCCCTTTTAAAATTTTTTTTGGTTTTTTTGAGACAGGGTCTCCCTATGGCCCCAGTTGCCTGGAACTCACTATGTAGGCCAGGGTGGTCTTGGTCTCAGAGATCCATCTGCCTCTTTTTTGGTCTTTTTGAGACAAGGTCTTCTTGTAGTTCCAGCTGGCCTGGAACTCTCTGTGTAGACCAGGCTGGCATTGAACTCGAAGAGAGCTGCCTGCCTCTGCCTCCCATGCTGGGATTAAAGGCATGCACTACCATACCCAGCCCTTTTAAAATTTTTAAAGACAGGCTTTCACTAAATTGCCCGGGCTGGATTTGAACTCCTAAACCCAGGCAATCTGAACATTTTTGGTTTTTGTTTGTTTGTTTTTGAGACAGGGCGTCTCTATGTAGCACTGGAGGGCCTGGATCTTACTATGTAGCCCAATCTGGCCTGCAACTCACAGAAAATTTCTGAACTTTTGATTCTCTTGCCTCAGTGTCCTAAGTAGCTAGGATTACAGGCCTGGGCCACCAACCTGAACTACCAGTTCATATTTTGTCTTGTTTTTGTTTTGTTTGCTATGATAAGGTCTTGTGTATTGAAAGCTGCCCTCAGACTCGCTAGCCTTGAACTCCTGATCCTGCCTCTGCCTTCCAAGTGCTGGGACCACAGGCATGAAACACACATTTGTGGCCCTTTTTCTTTTTTTGAGACAGGATCTCAGATAGGCAGGCTTCAAATTTACCATGTAGCCAAGGATGACTTTGAACTTCTGGTCTTCCTTGCCTCTACTTTTTTTTTTTTTTTTTTTTTTTGGTCTTTTTGAGACAGGGTCTCCCTGTAGCCCCAGCTGGCCTGGAACTTGCTATGTAGACCAGGCTGGCCTCAAACTCAGAAATCTGCCTGCCTCTGCCTCCTGAGTGCTGGGACTTAAGGCAGTGTGTGCCACCATGCTGGGCTCACATTTGTTTTTTAGAAGCCATGAGCCCTGAGTTAGAGGGACAGATGAATCAGGCTGAAGAAGCAATGGGAGAAAGGTTTCACCTGAGTTGGGGCGGGGGGAAGCGGGAGGCATCATAGTTTCCCGAACTCTAGGCCACAGAAGCAGGGGCTGGCCCAGGCAGTGTTCCATTTAGCACCTCTCCAGGGGATGGTAGCATAGTAGCACTTTGGTGGGAAGTGAGACAGAAACCTGTGTTTCAGGGCTGGAGGGAACTTGAAAAAGGGTCTTAGAAGACCACCTCAAGTTCATTGGCCTCTGGCCTGATGGCACCCTCCCTCAGGACCCAAGGTACTCACTGTTCACTGGGGAGACCCAGTAACTGGGTGTGTGGTGAGATGACTGCAAAGGAATGGGCAGAAGAAACTGAGGGATGGAGATATGGTGAATGACTAGCAGGGGCAAGGGTTAGGTGGAGCTAGAGGAGGAGGTGGTCACTGAGGCTCTGCCTTGGCAAAGCCTCCCAAGTTGAAGAATCATGGAGCTACATGTCTTGGTGGGGCTGAGTGTGCAGCTTTGATTGGAAGATCAAAACCAAGATTGGACGTGTGGGTACTTGTGAGGAGAAGATGATCTGCCTAAAAGGAAAGTGGATCAGAATTACTCACACTGAACAGTGATTTTATTATTTTTCTAAAGCTGATTATGTAGCTGAAGAGTACCTTGAATTTCTCATCTTTACTTCTGGAGTTCTGGGATTACAGGCAAGCACCATCACACTTGATTTATTTGGTTCTGGGATTGAACCTGGGGCTTTGCTAGGTAGGCACTCTATCAACTAAGCTACATTCCCAGACTCCAAAGACTTTTTTTGGGGGGGTCTTTTTTGAGACAGGGTCTCACTGTAGCCCCAGCTGTCCTGGAACTCGCTATGTAGACCAGGCTGGCCTTGAACTCACAGAGATCCACTTGCCTCTGCCTCCTGAGTGCTCAGATTAAAGGCGTGCACCACCACGCCCGGCTAACTCCAAAGATTTTAAGTAAAGTTGTTTTGCTTCAACAACATTGTTTTACCCTTGGAACAAACTTGAGGCCAATAGGACAGATTATTTTAATGTTTCCAGCAAATAATAGAGACATTTGTGGAATATGGACATTGTAGAATAGAGACATTTTACATGAAGCCCAAAGCTATATACAAGCAATGAAAATGTTGGGGAAGATAATTTCCTGTTTTTTTCTTTGGGGTGTTCTGGGATTCAAACCCAGGGTCTCATGCATGCTAGGAAAGCATTCCACCACTGAGCTACACCCCCAGCTCACTAGCCCTGGAGATGTAGAGCTATTTTTCCATGACTGGGCTCCAGACACACTAACACACCCAGTGAATGTGTGGAGGTGACCCCTATGTGGGACATTAGGGATACAGCAGTGACCAGTGCAACCCCTGTCCATTCAGAGCTCACAAGCCATTGGGGAAAATGTCACAGTCACTGATCACTGAAGGGTGCTAGAGGTAGTGTGTGATCAGTGACCAGTGGACGGAAAATGTTTGTGGTAGAACCTGACTGGATCCTAAATCCTAAAGGATTTTAAGTTCTTGAGAATTAGAACCCCTCAATGTGAGGCTCTTAGCCCCAAAAATAAAGCCTTAGAGTCCCCATGCTTCCTTCCCACAACATACACACAGGTATGTAATCTGGAAGACTAGCTCAATGATTTCCAAAGCTTTTGTTTCATTTTCACATCTTACTTTTTGGTAATTGGAAAACATGAGTTGAGGGCTGCAATACAACTCAGGTGGTAGAGTGCTTGTGGACCATGCAAGAGTACCTGGGTTCTTGCCTCAGCACTGCATGTACCAGGTATGGTGGCACATGCCTGAATCCCAGCACTGTGGGGGTAGAGGAAAGGAGGATCAGGAGTTCAAAGCCATTCTCAGCTTCTTGGTGAGTTTGGGGCTAGTCTGAGCTACATGAGGTTATCTCAAGAAAAGAAGAGTTGAACTTTACAGTTAATTATGAAATCAATGGAAAATGAAGTCTCGCACACACAAAAAAGTAGGTTAAGTAAAAGGTTACATATGATAGCTGTGCTGTTTTTGTTTTGTTTTGTTTCATTTTTTGAGACAGGGTCAGCTCCAGCTAGCCTGGAACTATGTAGATCAGGCTGGCCTCAATCACACAGAGATCCCCCTGCCTCTGCCTCCCAAGTGATGGGATTAAAGGTGTGCACCACCACTCGTGGCCTTACTTTAAAAAAAAAATTATTTTTTATTTTTATTTATTTAAAAATTTTTATTTGTTGTTTTTATTTATTGTTTATGTGTATGAGTGTATTGCCTGCATTTATGGTAAGTGCACCCATGTCATTAAATGTCCACAGAGGTCAGAAGAGGGCATCAGATTCCCCTGGAACTGGAGTTATGGACAGTTGTGAGCCACCTTGTTGCTGGAAACTGAACCCAGATCCTCTGCAAGAAGATCTTAAGTGCTTTTAACCACTGAGCAATCTCTCCAGCCCTTATTTCTTTTTTCTTTAAAGATTTATTTTTTATCATTTTTAATTGTGTGCGTGTATGAGGAGCTATGTGCACCTGAGTACAGTGCCCTGGAAGGCCAGGGCCTTCTACAGTCGTGAGCTGCTGGACACAGATACTGGGAACCACTTTTTTAAAAAAGCATTAAGCAAAGGCTAGAGAGATGGCTCATTAAGAGCACTTGCTCTTCCAGAGGACCCGAGCTCAACTCGAGTGCACGTACACACTCCCCAACCCCCACCCAACCGCCACACATACACATAATTAAAAAAAAAAATTTCTTTTTAGGGGGCTGGAGAGATGGCTCAGCGGTTAAGAGCACTGACTGCTCTTGCAGAGGACGTGGGTTCGATTCCCAGCACCCATATGGCGGCTACGAACCGTCCTTTAACTCCAGTTCCAGAGGGGAATCCGAAGCCCTCTTCTGACCTCCGCGGCATTGCACGACACGGGTGCATTCATATACATGCAGGCAATACACCCATACATATAAAATATAAATGAGAAAAAAAAAACTTTAAAAAACCGCTTTTTTTTGTTGTTGTCTTTTTGGAGACAGGGTCTCCCTGTAGCCCCAGCTGTCCTGGAACTCATTATGTAGACCAGACTGGCCTCGAACTCACAAAGATCCGCCTGCCTCTGCCTCCCAAGTGCTGGGATTAAAGGCGAGTGCCACCACGCCCGGCTTTAAGACCGTTTTTAAAAGTACTAAGCAACAGGTGAAATTAATATTAGCGATATACTTTAACTCAGTATTCCTAACTACGTTTAAACGTGTCATCAATATATAGGGTGGGGGGTTATTTAACCTTTCTTTTCCCCCTTGTGTTCACATTTTGGAGTGACCCTGAACAGCTTAGCAGCTAGACCTGGGACACTTCAAGCGCTCCACGGCCACGCGTGGCCGGCGGATACTGCGCTGGGCAGAGCTTGGGGGATGCAGCCGAACGAGAAGCCTCCCGCTGTCCCTTGAAGGGGCCTTCCTGGAGGACCCGCTCGCAGGCAGCACAAGCCGGGAGTGGGCAGCCTCTCCGCGACCTGGCCCGGGACGGAGCGCACGCGGAGCGCCCCCAGCCGGCGGGTCGGAGCGTAGCTCCAGGACCGACCCCGCCTCCCTCCCGCCCGCCCGGCGGGC